CGAAGACATGCCGTCGAAGACAACACACAGTCCGGGGAACCGATCGGCAGATCATCTCATGTCAGACACCAGTCATTGAGTGCAGCACTCGATGACAGACAACAGATACCAACGATTACTACTACTAGTCCTTCACTGCGGGCGACAATAACTACAACAACCACTTCCAGTCCCGACACACAATCGCTGAACAATAAACGCCATAAGTATTTGATTACTGTATTTACTTTTAAGACAATAAATGATTTCATTTTCTCAACATTCAAGTGATTCAGACTATGATATCGTACTCATTGGTAGAGTTCCGGCGCCCAAACGGCCCGCACGTTACCGATCGGCCGTTGATATTAAGCCATCGCTCATAGACTCCATACCTCTGGTGCCGGAAATAGTCAACAAGTATTGTCACAACTCTTATAGTGTTTGTATTGTAATAGTGTTTACGTTATTAAACAGACCGCCCGTAGAGACCATTACACTAATAGACGCCATACCTATGGGGCCGGAAATGGTCAACCAATCGCCGATTGACATAATGCCAGTGATAAACACCAGCCCTCCGGAGCCGTCAATTGTCCATAAGTACTGCCTATAACTTCAATACTATTTATATTAATAACTGTATTCATAAAACTATTCACAAACAGTCCTACACTCACAACAACCGGCGTTCAAATAGACATAATACTGGACTCGACGTCTGGCCACAGCTCTGACGCCAGAGAGGGCTCGGATGGCACCGACGGCGCCCCCATAGCGGACAACACTAACACTACGTACGGGTGTCTGGAGACGGGTTGCCGGCGACGGTTCGCCGACCGACCGCTGATGTATCAACACATGCGTGCCGTCCACTCCAGCCAAGGGTTCCCGTCGTGGACGGCACGCACGCCGGTGCCGTCAACTGTCCAAAAGTACTGCCCATAAAATCTAATAAAGTAATTGTATTCATAAATATGTTTAAAAACTTTTCAAACAGTCCTTCAATCACAAGAAGTGGGGCTGAAATCGAAATAATAACACTAGACTCAGAGCCGGACGTACGCCCCGCCGGTGGCACCCGTACAGCGCACAGCACCGGCACATCACTGTCCGGTTGGTACGCGTGTCTTATGAGTGGTTGCGACAAAACATTTGCGGACCGAATAGTGATGTACCAACACATGCGAGTCGTCCACTCGACCGATCAGTTCGCCGACTGGACGGCCGCCACCGCAGCGCCCGGCGGTCCGCCTCCGGTGGCCAACACCAACGGATCCCCGTCTATGAATCCAATCGAGTTTGCACCAAGGTGCCTTACTTGCAATAAAAGTTTTGAATTGTTGGCTATATATGACGAGCACATGCGGACAGATCACCCGTACTCCTGGTCAGCGCCGCCGCAATTGCTAGGGTTAAAGCCTGTGCCAAAGCCTGTGTCAAAGCCGGTGCCAAAGCCTGTGCCAAAGCCTGTGCCAAAGC